GTAGTGAGGAGCATAGGAACGCAATCCTGTCCCAAAGCATAATACCTAGCCAAGGTAGCTTGGTAGTTAGCCATTTTTATGGAGAGGGCTGCAGATGAGAAGCAGCAGCAACTGAGAGCATCGAGGTACCTGCCTTCTTTGTCTGATGGAGTGACATGTTCTCTTCTGGAATGTGATTGAGCAGACTCAACAAGAATAGAATTTGGTCAAGGATGCTGGAACAGAAACTTGGCATCCTTTTCCTGGACTTGATACATATTTTCGAACTGGTGAGATGGAGTTGCTATTGATGCCGGAGATTTCCACTCATGGCTGATTGCATCAAATAGGGTCAGTAAGAATGGGAAGGTAACCGGGCCAGCAGACTCTGCATGAACAGCTTGGAAGACTGGGTTTTTTGCTTTGGTAGGCTCCTACCTAGGGTTAAGTCCTGGACTATGAGCCATATGGAGGACTTGAGAGGAAAAGAGTCCAGAGTCCTCTGGTGCCTGAGAAAAATCAAGTGATGTTGCAGTGACACCTGGTGGCATGTCAGAATGATGGTCTGGAGAGGACGCTATTGAGATCAAAGTATATTTATTTATTTATTAAAACATTTTTATGCCGCCCCATTCGCCCAATCCTCGGGGCGGCTTACAACAATATTGTCCTCGTTCCAAGTGACATTCTGTCCTGTCTGTACGTTGGCTAGATAAGAGAGAATGGGAATCATCTGTCCAGGAATTGAATTATCTGGGCAGGGTCTTGAGCAGGCTCATCTAATGGGATATGAAAACTAGGACCCGGTAAAGGGTTGTGCTCTGAACCTGAAGGGCTCCAATGCAAACCTTCTTGTCTGGAATCGTTGGATCCCCAACTTTCCACATAATAATCAGTGTCAAAATCCCCTTGGTGTCTTGAGGGGAATCAGTGTCTTTTATGAGAGATCTTAGCCAAAGGGGATTGAAAGCGATGTCTACCCCTTTGCTGCTCAGATTGGAGAAAAACACTTGGAATTGAGGGTGAAGGAGAGACCCATTTCTGTACCGGGGGATGATCTGATTTGGAAAGCTGATCTGGGGAGAATTCACAAATCTCTCCCTCTGACACTTAAGTACTTCTTGGAAGCTGGGAAGATGGGTCCTGTGACTGTTTTGGAAGTGGAATAGTGGGTCTGTTCTGGTCTTGCAATGGCACCGTGTCTCCAGTACATGGGAGGCCCGTTGGTAATGAAGACTCCGAGCGTATTCAGGCATTCTTAGCACCCCGCTTCCCTTTACTAAGTGTGAGTGATTTACGTGGTTTTGCTTTCTTTTCTGTCTTTTTCTGCTTTGCCACCGTAGGAATTTTTGCCAGCAGAGGAGTTAGTATCTCGTCCACTGCAGAAGCAGGGGAACCCAAGGTGGATGGTTGTGGGTCTTCCGCATGTAAGGCATGGCTCTAAAGCTCAGCTTTTAAGTGATCAGCTCAGTGTTTCCTCGCCTGCTTCGTTAAAGCTTGGCAGTGAAGACAAGTGTCAACAACATGAAATTCTCCCAAGCAAAACAGGCAAAGGGAATGGCCATCTGTAGGAGAGAGTTTGCTGCTGCACTCGGTACAGTTGTGAAACGGAGCCTTAAGCGCCATCTTGTCTTCCTGTTGAGGCATGATGAAATAGGGCTTCGGCGGTATACCACTGTTCCCATTGTTGTAATATAATTTTTAAAACCCTTTTCTTTTATCTTCGAGCAGTGAGGAATAAAAACAAGAAGAAAGAAGAGAGACCAGACCAGGCAGGAGTTATCTCAGACAGTAACTCACAATGTAAGTAGAGAAGAACTTCCCAATGTGCTCACGGTGGTGGTTGAAGAAGAACTGAGGTCTCAGTGGGAGCCCTGCCCTCATGCTAACTGTGTTTGGGGCTGGGCTCCCGTGGAATACTAATTAATCAGCTTTGGAATCTTCTTGAAAACCACTCCATGCATGCACGAACAGCACATATGTGTGATGCACAGAGTCCACAAAGAATAACTTTCCTTACCCCCCACCCCTGCTCTTATCTGTGAAATTCTCTGTTAACTCCTAAGTTGTTAAATGTTAAATGTTTGTCCTTGCAATCTTGTCTTTGATATTCAGTTCAAATTAGCCAATGGGACATAGTTATGGTGAACTACAATTCCATTTACTTCAAAGGGCTTATACAACACAGGATGTCAATGGATAGGAAACATTTAGGGAAGGGCAGTTTAATGTCCCTTTGTCTTAGCTGTGACCAAAAGCTTATTTAGTTTCACAAAATTTCAGTGGATTACCTGCAGCTTATATATCTGGAATATAACTTTCTGAAGTGGCATAATCAGAAGTGCAAAGCTTACTCCAGAAAAAAGAATTTCATCAAAAATATAGTAGTTCTGAAGTAAAGTAGTTCTTTCAAAGTAAAGTCTTTCCTGGAATTTCCTTGTGTCTGAGCTAAAACACACCAATGCCAGGAGTGAGTGCAGTTGAGACAAACTGATTCTGACCAAATTCAAAGGCACACAAGCCTTTAAAACAAACTTTCAGAGCCTTCTTTCACAGCCTTTTCTCCTGCGCTGGGACAAGACCACTCCAACAAGGAAAAGCATAACTTATTTACAATGTGATAAGCACTGCTTCCTTATCTCTAGCTCCACTTAAAGCCAGATCATTCCCCTTTAACTTACCTGAGAACTGGACTGTTCAAACTGTGCCATATTGGAAGTTGTCTCTCTCAATCCTTCACTCTTACAAAACTAGCATCTGCTGGTTTGCCTATCATCCTATATTACCTCCTGACATTTAAAACCAGGTTTTAGCACTTTCCTCCATCAAAGTACATCAAACTGCAATCCTAGCTTCCCACAGTCTAGTACACAGAGTAATAGGGTTTTGCCATCCATCTACCAAATGGTTCTTTATAGCCTGTATAATTTGAACTCGCCAACTACAGCCACCACTCCCCCATGAAGTCTTTCTATGTTGTGATTCCAACCAACCTCCAAATCCTTTAAACCACTTGCTACAGCAGACCTGTGTCTCCTAACTATGAAGATTACATTCTTGGTGGTCATTATGCCAGCTTACAAGGCATGGGACTTTGGGCCTTCTGGCATGACACACTTTTCCTGACTTTTCATAGGAATAAGGTTGTTCATTTTTACCTAAGTTGTATTCCAATTTCATCTAAACCAGTCAACCAGTGTTCCTGCTAGAGGCCAAACCCCACTCATTGGACCCCTGCTCTCTACATTTGAAGAACATGCACCTTCAGGCAGAATGCCAGACTTTTCATTTGCCACTCTGGGGTCCAAAGAGGACTTCCAGACTCTCCTCAAGTGTCTGGATAGATGGATAACCCCTACTATTTACTTGGCCAATGACCTTGCTTATCTACCACCTCCCTTACAGGTGAAAGGAAACTCTACACAGGCACTGTCTCAGCAGCATTCATCAGAAGAATAACTATTCCAAAGCTATGTGCCAGATTCACATGGTCTCAACCGGATTCACATGTTTATCCACATGCTCAGATATTAGACCACAGAAAGAGGCTTCCTTTGGCAAGGCCCCATTTTAGTGTGAAATCTCCTTTCACTTGTAAGTCTTTAGCGTTGCAGTCTTCTATATGTTAAGTCACAGACACCATAAAGAAAAACAAGTTACTTATGTATACCTGTGGTTCTTCAAGTCCTTATGTGAACTCAACAAAACACACCCTCTTTCCTGTTTTGTATCCTGCTTCTGCTAGCGCTGCAGTGAACTTGGAACTGAGACAAGGGCAGGAGCCACACCCTTAGTGTGCACAGAGGAGGGAGCAAAATCCACACCAAAACACTCACCTAAAATTCAGAACCTTCCAAATTCTATTCTGTGCAAGAGCCTAGTACATATGTGTGAGTCCCAGAGACCACAAAGAACTGATCATGGGTTCAAGAATGCCTACAGCAAACAAAGTTTTGTCGCACTTAAACAAGTCATGGGTTGTTGAAACATGTGATCATTTTAATAATCCAAACAGGTATTTTTCAGGACCAAGCTATCTCCATCCAGTTTGAAGCTGATAAGAAGAACTTAAAATCACAATCACAAGATGAGACTTGGTAACAAGCTTTCCATCCATGCTCCAGCCATCCTTCAGTCTCCTTTATTGCCCCCAACTCATGTGTATACAAAGGAGCTTGTTCAGGGGGAGAGGGCACCTGGGTTGCCTTTGCATTCCAAGGAGTGACTAGGACTTTGACAGAAGCACCAGCCAAAACATCCTCTAGAGCCTTTATGAATCCAAAAGATTCCATTAGCCTCCAGGGCTGGTTGATTTAAATTACCTACCTACTTACTTGAAGAATGCCTAAATGCCTAAATTTAGATGCCTAAATTTAGATGCCTAAATTCAACAGGAAGTGATCTGACTAGGACAAAGGACAGGATTTGAAATTCTACAATTTCAGATCCTGTCTGGTTGAGAGAACTAAATCCATACTTTTGGCCATAATGTTCAATGGGTAACTGACTCTCAGTCTAACCTCCCTCACAGGGATATAGTGAAGACAACATGGAAAGGTGGAGCATCATGAAAGTCACCTTGGGCTTCTTAGAGAAAAGTGGGATATAAAAGCAACAAGCAAATATTTGTTCCCAATAAGGATGGGTGGGGGATATTTTCTGGGATTATACAGTAGCTCATTGGAACACTGCTTTAAAGAGAAATAGAGAATCAAATCAACATAGTATATAGATGGATATAAGTATAGAGAGTTAACAGATTTTTAAACATACTACAAAATCTTATGCACCCTTCTCCAAAAAGAAAAGTAAAGGTTTAAAAAGTCTTTAAAAAGCAATTAAAACCCAGATAGCTTGAAGAAAAAGCCTAAGATACAAACCTTCTGGCAACAGGAATTGGAAGTAAAGCATAAATCATGAAGGTGAGAAATCCCAGGATATAGTGTAGATTGTGCCCCTTAGCATGACAAATAATCAGAAGCAGACAAGACATTGAAGCACAGGATTGGACACAGCCTTACCTTTCATTCCCTTTAGTCCTCGCTGCCCTGGATAACCTTGAATGCCCAGAGCACCAGGTAGCCCGGGGAGCCCCTTCACCCCAACAATATAATCTGTAGAATGGAAAAACTAGTTATGTTAGATGGAGACGGAAATGGTTTTGTAGCTCTTAAGAAAGCTAGCATATCATATTGGTATCTGTGCCTAGGCTCCAAAGGAAAAATGTGTAGGGCATAGAAATTATATTTTTCAGATTTTTTTATGTATCAGGACCTGAAGCTGTGACACAGCTCCCTGTGGTGACAAGCAGCACACTTCCAGCCTGCAAGGGCCTGCAGGACCAGGAGCACTATAAAAATTGGAGCCTATAAAGTCTTTCCTGTGCTACTCAGCCTTGCCACAACAACATAAGTTTTGTCTAGTCTTGATTTCTTTCTTTCTTTGATTTTTAAAAATTTCTTAACATAAACAAGTACACAAAAAGAATGTGAAACAGAACAAACTAAAATGAACAAAGCAAGCTAAAATGAACAAAGTTGCCAAGGGAATTCTATAGAAATATAGCCTAAACATTCAGCCCCCACAAATCTATCTCTCTTCCTGTCTTTCAGCACTCAGAAAAAATAAATTATAAATATATACAATACCAAATTTTCCAATAGCATCAAATCTACTGATTTTTTTCTTTTCCAGACTCCCCTCAGATTCCATTAATTATAGTGAGCATGATAAAATTTCCATTTATCATTGAATTCTTCTAACTGTCTTCTGTTTACATAGTTGGTTAACTTTGCCAGCACAGCATATTCTGCTAGTTTATTTCACCATTCTTCAATTGTTGGGGGCTCCAATGATTTCCATTTAGAAGCAATTGTGAATCTTGCTGCAGTTGTCATATACAGTGGTACCTTGGCTCACGAACTTAATCTGTTCCAGGACTCTGGTTGTAACCCAAATTGGTCGTGAGCCAAATTAAATTTCCCCATAAGGTTCAATGTAAATAAGGATAATCTGTTCTGTAACCATTTTTTAAATCAGAAAAATGTGAAACAAAGTGACAATGGCAAAGATCGCAGCCATCTCCCCCACCTGAGAGATCTCAACTGCAATTGTAGCCATCTCCCCACTCGGGGGCGGGGGGGGGGAGATGGCCACGATCGCAGTTCCATTCATGCAGGGAAGGCGTATGTGATCAGAGGCACGCTCCTGCAGGAAAGACAGGCAGAATCTCGGCCATCTCTCAGCCAAAGCTCTGCTTTGCTGCTCCCATCTATCCTGCAGCAGTGTGCCTCTGATCACGCATGCCTTCCCTGCACAACTGAACTGCGATCGTAGCCATTTCCCCACTTGGGGGATGGGGGAGATGGCTGCGATCTTGGTTGCCACCCAAAGTTGTGTTCACAACCCAAGTAAAAATTTTTCAGAAATTTTTGTTCGTGACCCGATTTGTTCGTGAACCAAGGCGTTCCTGAGTCGAGGTACCACTGTACTTAAATAACTCTGACATACTCTTTGAAAAGGTCTCTGACACTATATTCAAAAGCATATTCTTGGGACTAATGGGAAATTTAATTTTAAAGATTTTCTGCATTTCTGCATGTATCAGTTTCCATTTTTTCATTATTTCACAAGTCGATAAAGTCCCATCCACCCTCTTACATTTCCAGCATTTTCCATTATAATTCTTACCTATTTTTTAAAATATCTTTTGATAAAACACACCAATTTTCTCTTAATGCTTGACTAATAGTAAATTTAATAACTTTCTTCCAAAGAGCTTCCCACTGGCACTGTGATATTTCTTCTCCAAGATTCTGCTTCCAAATTGTGACACCTTTCTTATCTTAATGGTTTTCAGTGTCATACTGTAATAACAATTTAAGTCGTCCCAGCAGATGATCATTCTGCTGTGTAATTGGCTTTTCAAAATCTGTCAAAGCTCTTAAAATGCTTTCTCCTAGTCTTGCCTTGATTTCAACCATGCCTTAACTCATCTTCTCTTAATGCTGCTCTTTCCTGCAGTTTGATCCCATCTTGCCAGCTTAATCTCACTCCTGTTCTGTGCTCCCTCTAACTTCACCTTGCTCCTAACCCTGCTTTCCCCTGCCTGTGGTTCTCCCATGGCTTGCCTCTGCTCCTGCCATGCCTCATTGGTATTTGATCCTTGCCTGCTCCTGACCTTGCCTTCACCTTTGGACCTACTATGCTTTGTCTGTATCTGACCCTTGTTTTTCATGACTCTGCCTTTGCTTCTGCACCTGCCATGCCTTGCTGGTATCTAATTTTGTTTGTTCTCTTTGTTCTCTGTAAATTAGCTGTCCATCAAACAATGACTTTCTCATTAAGAAACACTCTTATATTAAGAAAGGAAAAATACAGACAGAAAATTAACAAGATACCATTCCCCTCAGGTGTATCCCTAAGTGCTTTTCTGTCCTCTCACATTCTCTAGTTTTTGAAATTATAAGATAGCAATGGAAAAAGAATGACAATCGTAGAGGAAAAAGAAGAAAATTAGAGTATTGCCCTGGTTTGTTTAATCTTTTTAAAGGACTAAATGAAAGAAGAATAGAGCTACTGGAAGGTTGTTTTTTTTTTAACCAATGTCCCTGCTTTAGGATTTTTGAAAGTTCAAAGTTATATTGCTGAAAGTATCAAATTCCCATTGGTCTTTTCAAAGATTTTCAAAATTAAGGAAATTTCTCCAAGCATTCATTTAAAGCACTATCACGCCATTCATTTTTCCAAATGTGATAATCATTTACCAGTGCTGCAGCCTCTTACCTGGAGTTCCTGGGGGGCCAGGCAAGCCAGGCAAGCCAGGTGATCCAGGCTCACCATCTAAACCAGGGGCACCTGGATGAATAGCTGGGTGTCCTGGGTCACCAGCAGAGCCCTTGGGCCCCATTTCTCCAGGTAAACCTCTTCTTGAAGAGGCATCTGAAATGGGGAAAACAGACAGAAATACAAGAGTTTTAAAATGCTGCTGGTGCTATAGAAAGCTCTGAAGTTTGGGGCATATCAGATTCTTTATCACCTTGCAAGCTGATCAAGCCTGTACCTCTCAGCTGAGCTGGGTGAGAGCTTAGGCGGAACTTAGATGGAAATATCTCTTTTTAAAAACTTTTAAGAGTTTTAGGTTGAGACTAATTCTCTGCTAAGAAGAAATAACAAGCAACACTACCCCCTCTTACGAGTAATTTAGTAAGATCATGGAAACAAAAACATTTCTTATGCTAATGAGCTATATAAGGAGCCTACATGGTTGTATTTTGTTGAAATGTTTAGATTATTTAATAAAATGAATCTAATATTGCCTCTCTCTAATTCATTCTGGTAAGTACAGAACAAATATGAAGCCAAACTGCAGCAATTTCCAGTGTACTCTGACTCAAGTAACTAAATCAAACAGATTGACAACTGGTAACCAAGGGCTTCCTATGTATTACTTTTATTTCTGTACCACACCATAGCCAAACCTTTTCAAGAAGCTTCACCAAAAATTATGAAACATTACTTAAAGTTTAACATACAAAATGTTAAAACAGCCAAAAAAAATTACAGTAAGATACTAGGATTTTGACAGAATATCTGACATTAAAATTCCAGTATATGCTGTTAAATGCCTGAAGGCATTCTTTACTTGGCACGAAAAAGTTACTAACAGTGACACCAGATAGACCTCAGTGAAGAGATCATTCCAAAGGTGGGGTGGCTACTGCTAAGAAGGCCCTCTCCATTGCTGCCACACTCTGGCCTTCCCTTGGTAGATCTGCTCGAAGGTCCTGAAATAGTGACTGCGATGTACAAGTAGCTTCTTAGCAAGAGAGACATCTAAGGTTTTATAGGTCAAAATCAGCACCCTGAATGAAATTTGGAAAAGTCAGTGCAAGTATTATATGTGATAACTGCTGTTATATGTTTAGACATCTTGGTTCCTGTTATCAATTTGGTTGCCATATTTTGTACAAGCTTTGAAACATTTTTTAAAAATTCCCACAATCTAATCTGCATATAATCAGAGCACAGTAAACTGATGCCAAGTTAGCCCTTTCTCAACAGGTGCATAGCTTAAGCACCAGCTAAAGCTGGTAAAAGTCACTTCATGCCACTTAGGGCACCTAAGTTGCAAGTAATAATGACGGCTCTAGCGGAAGCCCCAAGCTTTGAACCTGCTTTTTCAGGGGGAGTGCAATGCCATCCAGAATAGGCTGAACACCCTCCATCTGGGCAGAAGAACCACTCATAAAAACATCTCAACTTTGTTTGGATTGAGTTTCAGTTTATTAGACCTCATCCAGTCCATTCCTGAAGTGAGGCACTGACTTAGCACATCCACAGCCTCACCTGACAAGGGAGAACTAGGGTTGTGTGTTAGCGACATACTGACAGCAATACACTCTAGAATTCCTGATGACCCCACTCAGTAGTTTAATGTAGACAATCCATGCTGCTGAACAGTCTTTTTCAAAGGGCCATTTTCCCAAGCAGACCCATGAAGGAAAAATGAAAACACTGGAATGCAGGATCCCCACACTCTCAACTCAGACAATACAGTGGTTGATGGTATTGAAAACCACCAAAAAATCAAGGAAAATCAAGAGTCACACTCCCTCGGTTACTCTCACAACATAAATAATCATACAGAGGTGACCAAGCTTGTTTGTGCGCACGAAATGGGTGAAGAAAACCAGTCTCATTCAAGCGTGCCTGGACCTGGATGGCAATTACCAGCTGAAGGACCTTGCCCAGGAAAGGAATATTGGCCACCAACCTAAAGTTTTTGAGATCTTCCGGGACCAGGGGTAATTTCTTCAGGAGTGGTCTCATTCCTGCCTGTTCCAGATTGCAGCGGGGCCATTCCTTCTCAAAAGTGGGCATTGGTCAACTCCCTAGCCTAACTGGTTATTTTCTCCCAGTCACTTTGTTAAAAGGGGCAAGTATCCAGTATGGAAGTGGTTGCACAAACTTGCCTGAGCACCTTATCGATATCCTAAAGTTGCACTAACTGAAATCCATCATATTAAACTAGATAAGACTAGGATTTGGCAAGGGATCTGAGAGGAATCTGTTTGGGGATGGGAATCCATCTGCTTTGCAGAAGCCCTGAGTTCAAGTTCCTGGTGAGAGCTTCCAGCATTCGTTGGGATGCTCACCAGGAATCAAGCCCCATGTGCTGCACAAGCAGTGTCCCTCATCCATGTCTGGAGCTACCAGAAGTAATGGGAAGGGAAGAAGGTTGTTCTCTGGGAATGGTGCCTGGCAAATCTGCTTGCAATGCAATCGGGTCTGCAAGCATTCGTGGACTTCCTCGTGCTCAAATTGCTTTGCAGGACCAGACTCAGCATGAAAGGAAATCTGTGGATGCTAGAGAGACAGATTCTGAAAGGGTTCATCCCAACCCCTGAGGTTTTAAACCAATATTCTCATTGGTACTACTGGCAGAGAATAACTCCTCCCTAATCACCCACCCAGGGCTTTGTTATACATGCCAAATCAGCTACCTTACCCACTATTAGATTATAGATGAGGAAGATCTTACTTTGAATCCGCCTGATATTTAAAAGCTGTATCTGACAGGGCAATTACCAAGCTTGTTCTGTATAGAATTATAGCTTGATAACTCAGCAGTGGTGACATTTATGTCACTCCATCAAGTTGACTTTATTCACATGGTTCCCATTCAGCTGTACTCAGTCTTTTAATTTACCAATATATCTACATTGGTTTAGAACATCAGAGTTTAAGAAAAATATTTCTGGGGAAGATGAAAAGTGGTAGAATCACAATGCTGAAAAGAACTGAAATCCTAACTTTGTGGCATGATTGTCTATAGGCCGGAGGTTCCTTATTCCTGCCTTAACCAATCTTTATCACTAAGTCTGCACAATGCAGATTTGTTGATGGTGTTGTTGTTGTTCTTGCTAGTTGTGTAGTCGTGCCAAAAGCAGATGAGTGCATTCATGCAGATTTGGAGAAGAGGAACAAGATGGGAATGGAAGGAAATTTTCAAATACCCCCCCAAAAAAACCTAAAACAAAACAAATAAAAACAAAACCCACAAATCTATAGAGAAAAGTGAATTTATTCTCCTCAAGTAAAAATTGAATAAAGGAAAGTATCAGGAAATTACCATCAGATGATCCTTGAAGACCAGGTAGGCCAGGACTGCCTTGCTCACCCCTGTCTCCCTCAGGCCCAGGAACACCAGGGATTCCCCAGTCACCTCTTGCACCTAAAACATCCCCAAACATGCAGTTTAAACCACACAGACACAGGTGAAACACCAGCAATGCAGTCCTCATGTCTGCCTCTTGGCCTACTCTCAGAATGGCCAAAAGAGTAGATCCTAGGATTGATCATTTTTGTGGTAAGTTTTAACCATTAGTTTTTGGAAAACTAAGGCCCTGATTGAGTTCACAAGTCATGCTTAGGCACTCTGTGTGATTAGCACAGTTCATTTTTTTTAACCTGGATGTCCCAAACAGATGAACAGGTGGTTTCTATGTTAGCATGGTTTCCATCCTGCCTGTTCAGGTTTCTGCTGTTGGCACATATCCATCAGCCAAAATGCCTGAAATTAAGGTCCCATATATTACTGACTAGATGATAAACTTTTTTTTCAAATCATCATATGTATAAAAATTCAACTGACTATATAAAAATTCAACTATTAGCTAAACTGGAAATATAGTATCTTTTTTCATCTGTTAATTTGCATTTTGTATGAAAGAGACGTAAAATAATAATGAGATTCCAGGATCATACTAGAGTTGGAAGGGGTCAGAGGCCACTGGGTCCAGCTCACTGCTAGTGCAGGACTCCAGTTAAAGCATCCCTGAAAGATAGCTGTCCAATGCATCTTGAATTCCTCTAGTGTGAGAGAGCCCATGACCTCCTTAGGTAGTTGGTACCATTGCTGTACTATTTTAACAGTCAGGGATTTTTTCCTGATATCCAGCCAGAATCTGGCTTCTGATAAGTCCATTGTGTCTTGAACTCTGAGATGATAAAGAGATCCTGGCTTCCTCTTTCTGACAACCTTTCAAGTCCTTGTAGAGCCCAGTTCTTTCAGCATCTCCTTTTTAAAGGTGTTGTCTCCAGTCCCCAGATCATCCTTGATGCCCCCCTCTGAACACTTGCCTGCATCTTTCTTAAACTGTGGATCCAGAACTAGATACAGTGCTCCAGATGAGGGCTAACCAGTGGTGAGTAAAGAGGAACTAGTACCCTCATGTGATTTCAAAGTTATTCTTCTGTTAATGTAACCTAAAAAATAATTTGCTGTTTTCGCAGCTACGTAACATTGTTGACTCATTGGAAACACTGCCCTAAGAGGAGCAACTGAGAGAACTGGGCATGCTCAGCCTTGAGAAAGAAGACTGAGGGGGGACATGGTATCCTTCTATAACTGCATCAAAGGCTGTCACAAAGAAGAAGGTCAAGATCTCTTCTTGCTGATACCAGAGTGTAGGACACAGAATAATCAAGTCAAGCTGTGACAACTCAGATTCAGGCTAGACATCAGGAAATGTTTCCTCTCTGTCAGAGGCAATATGACAGTGGAACCAGCTGCCTAGAGAGGTAGTGGGCTCTCCCACACGAGAGACATTCAGAAAGAAACTGGACAGCCATCTGAGTTGGATGGTGAAAATTGGTGTCCTGCAATAGCAGGGGGTTGGACCCAATGGCCTTCATGGCCCCTTCCAACTCTACTATTCTCTGATTCTATGATATACAACAAATCCAAAATCCTTCTCACTTGCAATATTGAGCCAAGTATCCCTTATCTTCTAACAGTACAATTGGCCACCTTTTCCTGGGTTCAGAATTTCATTCTGTTGTTTTTAGTCCAGCACTCCAATCTATCAAGATCACCTTGAACATTGTTTTTCCCCCCAAGGTATCAGTTATCCTACCCAATTTTGTGTCATTGTCAAATTTGATAAATGTTCCCCATCCCAATCATTAATAAAAATGTGAAAGAGCACTAGGCCCAGGATGGAAACCTGCAGTACACCACTTGTTATCCCTTTCCAGTTTGAGAAGATGCTGTTGGTGAGCATTTCTCGAGTCCGATTGTGTAGCCAACTATAGATCCACATCATTGTTCCATCTAGTCTACTTTCTGCTAGTTTGCTAATCAGGAGATCCCAGGGCACTGAAAAGTTTTGCTGAAGTCAAATACTATGTCCACAGCATTCCCATAAGTCCATCAGGGAGGTTACCCAATCAAACATTGAAATCAGATTATTATGGCAGGATTTGTTGTTGAAGAATCCCTGGTGGCTTCTAGGAATCACTGTATTGCTTTCAAGGTGTTTGAAGACTGGCAGCTTGATAATTTATTTCAGAATTTTTCCAGGGATTGATGTCAGACTGACTGGTCTATAGTTTCCAGGTTCTTCTTCTTTTCCTTCATGAAGACAGGGACAACATTAGTCCTTCTCCAGTCATCTGGCACCTCTCCTGTCCTCCATGATTTCTCAAAGATCATAGACAGTGGTTCTGAGTGTTCTTCCACCAGCTCCTTTATGATTCTATGATGGAGTTTATCGAGCCCTGGAGATTTGAACTCATCCATTCCAATCAGATGATCCTTGACCATTTGCCCATCAATCCTGACCTTCCATTCTGTTCCTTCAGCTTGTACTTCTTCTTCATCAGAAAGGCCATATCATCTTTTGGGAGAAGATTGAGCCGAAGTAGGAATTGAGCACATCTGTCTTTTTTTTGTCATCTGTTATCATTTTGCCATCCATGCTGAGATGATGAGAATGTCATGATTTTTCCCATCACCACATTTTTAATTTGGAAAAGCTATAAACAGCATCAAACTACATTGAACATCATACCTTTTATTAGTGTGGGGCGATGTGCATAAACTGGTGGTCCTTGAACACCTCTATCTCCTGGCTCTCCCTGTGTAAATGCAAATTTAATTCACCAGTCTTACTTTGAAGTTCAAAGTTATTGTCAGTATACTAATGAATGGAAGAAGCACAAAGTTCCTTCCTCATGACAAAGGTCCAGTCATTTTTCCTAAGATTACCTTCCATTCCCATAAAGTATTAAAGTTTCTCTCTATTCTCTGTTTTTCACAAGTGGGCTAGAATGTTCTCACTATGTATTATGATACATTATGGTTAAATCAAATGTTCAAGTTAGTGCTTTCCCTTGAAGCAAAAATGACAAAACTAAATCTGTTCTACTTAGGAAATATCATCAGAGGGAACACTTCCTGGAGAAGAACACCATGCTAGGGAAAGTTGAAGGTGGAGGAAGAAAAGGAAGACCAAATAAAATATGGATTGACTCCACAAAGGAAGCCACTCCACAGGATAGGGCATTCATTCATAGGATTGGCTTTCATTCATAGGATTGCCTCAGGCAGTACACAACAACAACACATTAAATGTATCTTAGGAGTTTCATCCCCTTCATGGATCACTTCCTTGTTGTGGCAAAGGGGCTTGTGTAACTCAATGAAGCTATGAGTTATGCCGTACAGAGGCACCCAAGATGGACAAAAGCTGATCCACAGGAGAAGGAAATAGCAACACACTCCAGCATCCTTGCCATGAAAACCCCATGAACAGTACCAAAAAGCAAAAAGATATGATGCCGCGAGATGAGCCACTCAGATTGGAAGGTATCCAATGTGCTACTGAGGAAGAGCAGAGGGCTAGTACTAGTAGTGCCAGAAAGAATGAAGCAACTGGGTCAAAGCCAATAGGACACTCAGTTGTGGATGTATCTGGTGGTGAAAGGAAAGTCCAATGCTGTAAAGACCTATACTCCATAGGAACCTGGAATGTAAGTTCTGTGAATCAAGCTAAGCTGTACTTGGTCAAACAGGAGATGACAAGACTGAACGTCGACATCTTGTGAATCAGTGAACTAAGATGGACAGGAATGGGTGAATTTAATTCAGATGACCATCAGGTATACTACTGCAGGCAAGAATCCCTCAGAAGAAATGGAGTAGCCTTCATAGTCTATAAAAGAGTAGGAAAAGCAGTACTGGGATACAATCTCCAAAATGACAGAATGAACTCAGTTTGAATCCAAGGCAAACCATTCAACATCACAGTAGTCCAAGTCTATGCCCCAACCACCGATGCTGAAGAGGCTGATTGGTTCTGTGAACGCCTACAACACCTTCTAGAATTAACTCCAAAAAATAATGTCCTTATCATAATGGGGGATTGGAATGCTAAAGTAAGAAGCCAAAAGTTAACCTGAATAACAGGAAAGCTTGGCCTTGGAGTATTAAAATGAAGCAGGGCAAAGGCTGGCAGAACTTTGTCAAGAGAATATGATGGTCATAACAAACACTCTTTTGCACAAACAAGGCAGGGGACCAAGGTAAGGTCTCGGAAGGGATACCGATGGCAGACCAGGAGATGGCCTTGGCAGGAGTCACGGGTGTTGTTGTCCGCTGTGACAGCTGCGACATGTTCGCCCTTCTCCCCCAGGAGAGGCAGGGATACACTTGCCCTCGGTGCAAGATGGTGACCCTGCTAGAAGAGGAGGTGAGGTGCCTGAGGGCCGAGAGAGCTCTCCAGGCCCCCCCGGAGCAGCCCCCTTCTGGACAGAGGGTTGAGGGAGAGGCCACGGGAGGAGTAGCTGCGGAGACATGGAGGTATGTCACCCACAGGAGGAGGAGGCCAGCATGGCCTCTTCCTTCTCCTGGCACCAATCTGGAGCTGGGAAAGAGGTTCTCTCCACTTGGGGAGGCTGGGGCTGATGAGGCCTCCGGGGACCAGCAGGACCCCCAGCCTGAGACGTCAAGCGGCAAGGGGGC